AGCACCCCAAACAGATATCCACAGCACAATCGTACTCAGCAACCTCCAAAACCCACATATATGAGGTCGCCGACACCCTTCTGGCTGCTGGTAACGACCCTTGTTGCCGCCAGGCCGCTGCGTGCGCCAAAACAGGTCGAACACCACGATAGACTATATTCCCGCAAACCGGCCCCGCAGCCCTTCCAGGGCAAATACCCTACCAACAGGGGACACCTGGACCACCACTCCTCCAGCCCGGGTGGCACACCCACGTCACTTGGCGGTCGTGGATCACACGGGAAACGGGATTCACGACGCAACTGGAGTAGTTGCCTTGTGCATCCCGTTTCCCGCGTGATCCATGTCCAACAAGTGACGTGGGTGCGTGACACCCGGGCTGGGGGGGTGGTGGTCCAGGTTTCCCCTCTTGGTAGGGTAATTGCCCTGGAAGGCCTGCGGGGCTGGTTGCGGGAAATAGTAGATCGTTGTGTGCGACCTGTGTTGGTACACGCAGCAGCCCCTGTCAGTCCTGTCTTACTTGGTCTCGATTTCCACTCCACACCTGCAACTGAGTGTCTTTGTCCATCCCGATGGTGTCGAAGGCCTTCTGAACGTTCTGGAACTGCTTGACATCGTCCACACCGTCCAGGGTGATGCACCCGTTTTCACCCAGGATCTTGTACGTCTCTGCACTGCCGAGCTGCACAATACAGGCGAGTCGTTTGTTGTAACCGATAAGAGAGTCATCGATTATCGCGTCGTGTCGGCAGAACCACAACAGTCAAGGTGGGCTGGTTGGTGTGTGCGGGAATCGATTAGCGATAAATTGGACAGCAGAAAAACATTCTCTGATTCTTGTGCGAGACTCACAGCAGACTTGAACCATTGAGGCGAACAAAACCAGCACTTAGACTGCACCTCGAACAAGTTCATAACTCAACCGTTCAAACTTTCAAAACCAGCACTTAGACTTGACCGCGAGCCGACTGCACGGTCGGCGAAAGCAGCCAGGACGACAAATCAGATACAATACAAGACATAACGGGGAAGAGTTGCAGCTGTTGCCTACTCCTGTTGCTGATATGTACAAAGCCGGTCATTTGGCTTACAAAGCCGGTCATTTGGCTTGTTCCCCCGCCCACCTTGAGCTCCGTGGCCAGGCCAGAGGCTGCCCCTCCCGCCACAAGCTCGTACAGGATGTGGAAGTTGCGCTCCCCCTGGAACAAGCAAGGGACATTTCCATAATGTCGTGCGTGTGTCACACACAGCAAAGAGTGACCTCAACAACGAGTACCATGATACCCGAGATGATTTAGTACAATAGTTCAGGCTGCACCAAAAACAGAAGGAGGCGCTGTAGCACCCAGTTGTCCGTTGTCAGTTGGGAACATAAACGTTCAGATTGCGTAAGTAAGCGACGAGCCCGGCAACGAGCGCTAACCCACCATTGATAGGCACTGCTGTTGTCGTGGAAACGGTTAAGAAATGGGAGCACACTGAAAAGGACATCATCGCGACAAATCTTCCTTACTCTAACGTGTGGCTACCATCACGGCACAGCCCTCCCTATGTATAAATATGCATAGCGGCACCCTGCGTAGCGGCAACACAGCACAACACACCTTGCCCTGGGTAAGCACGCGGCTCTTCTCCAGCAGATAGGTCTCGATGAACGCCCCCGCCAGGCGGTACTTGTCCTTGGTGAACTGCATCTTCAAGAACTTTCCGAACCGCGACGAGTTGTTGTTCCTCAGGGTCTTAGCGTTACCGAAAGACTCCAAGATCGGAGAAGAGTCCACCACCTTCTGCTCCAGGCCCGTGACACCTCCCACTGACCGGTGCGTCAAAAACCTGCAAGGAAGGGAAGGCAAAAGCGGGTTGGGCTGGGGTACAGTACATACATCCAAGGTCCAACCAAGGCCAAAAGCGTCGGGCGGGTGAGCTACAGTAAGCGTCAGACGAAGGTGGACCACAAAACGGCATCGCCGAGAAAATGGAAACGTTACCAACATCCCAAGAACTTCACCCGAAGCCAAAACTAGCCTTAGTAGGCTGCACAAAAACTTTGCCCCAACTTAGGGTACAGAACATCGCACCACTCATGACCTGACTTGAGCCATGGAGGCGAGCAAAAGTCCAGAATCATCAATTGCCGAGCACACATCTTCCTTGGTTTCAACATGTTACGGGGTAATTGATACAAAACAAGTACATGCGTGTCGCATCTGTCTCACCGAAGAATGATTTTGGATGTCTCCGTTTTCCCCGCTCCACTTTCGCCAGACACCACGATAGACTGGTTCGCCGCCTTACGGCCTCCCCCAAGCCTCATCTGGTGATACGATAGCTGTTGGATTCCAGTACATCCAGCAGTGGGTTCGCACAGGGCACAGACACAGGGAAAGGACGGCGGAAGAGGTTGGGTCGGTTGACGATGACACCACGTCCGACAACAAACAACACCAAAGACTATTGCACGTATCGTGCGACACCTTGGCTTGGCCTCTAGGGATCGCTTCGTCCAGCGCTTGTCCGTTTTCTGGTTTAACGTATCGGAACCTCATCAAAAGCGCGTACAGCATACATGCGTTCCTACACCGTCCAGGTCAGGTTGTTGCCATTCTCAAGCCCGCCAACAAAGGAGGTCCAGTAGTTTACCAGTAGTCCACCTAGCTAATCACGTGGGACGCCGAAGTGGCCCATTGTGCAACTCCGGCAGATGACCCTTTTGAGATGACCCTTCGATCCCGAGAGACAAGCAAGTAACCAGCGAATACGCCGTCCGTCATGTGTCTGGTACCATGTTACGACTGCGGTGGCGCGAAATAATCTACAGAAGCACATCTTTCCAAAGTGACGTACTACAGGAGCGGCAAACATGTGTGACGTGAATCTCACCTCCGCGATAGCGTAAGGGTGAGGCGCCTCCGGATCAAGAGAACGGTTCATGTACTTGCTCATCTCCGGGTCGGCGACCTTCCGCAACGGATTCACCGCGATCAAGATCGTACCCTGCACCAGGCGAGCGAGGCCAAATTCAACAGGCAGGCGTCGTTACTAGGTTGAACGCAGCGTGTACGGTGTACTTAGCAAAGGAGGCATCGGTGCCCCGGGTTGGCAGATTGCAACCGCACGAACATGGATCGATGAGCAAGCACCCCAAGAGGTTGATAGTGTTCTGTGAGGCAAGATAAAGATTGCCCGGAAAAGAGCGTCTCAATCATCTTCGTGCGGGAGGGAGCGCTGTATCGACAACAATGGAACGCGTTCCCGAATCGAATCGAATCGAATCGAACTGCAGTATACAATGTAGGGTGTTAGCATCACAAACGAGAAAATACGAAGAGAGCACAAGTGCGGTGTATGTATCGCTGACGTCAACAAGCACTGGGCGGTCCTACCAGCACCCAGCAGACAACCACACGACTATACACCATGTTGCATGGCTGGAAACAACACGGGGTACAAAGTCCAGTGGCTAACCACGACCCTACTCTAGACGATCTGAGTCAGCTTCTTCCCTCCGTCCGTCTCTCCTGGCCTACTGCTGTCTTCGTCTTATGCATATGTCTCACCATAAACGTGTAGGGCCGCTGGTTGTCGAGTTTTGCCCTCTCTCCCAGGTTGTAGAGGATGCCGGCTTCGTGGATGTGGTGTAGGGCGGTCATGTCAGAAACCACCTTCGGGTTGTGTGGGTGAGTTTCTCCAAAGCCCTGCAGCACAAGGGCAGAGAATGACGTCAGAGGTTACTGCTTTGTTTGTGTCCTCTTCTCTGATTCAAGCCTTCTTGCGAATTGAGAGGAGTCGCTGACGCCTTACGGTGGTTGTCACACTGCCGACAACCGCGGCTGTCACCCACTCTACGTTACATACTATAGTACGAGTAAGATGGGGCATAAAGCACTACCCGCGATGTCCCACGATGACGACGTGCTGTGTATACACCAGTTATTCGACAAGGAACTAGACTCGAGTGCTGTAGTAATTGCATACAGGAGTTCACCAGCAACAGATCGACATCGCTCCCTCACCAGGTCAATGTCCACGAGATCTCCGGTGTCCTTGCGTCGAACCTTGAGGATCGTGTTTTGCTGAGATACCAGTGATGCCAGCGCCCAAACCACTTTCGGGTCCTCTACCCATAGCTCCTCCCCTGCAAAGACACAGATCAGACGACCATTATCAGATCCACACAAATAACAATTTGGCCGTGTCCGCGATAGATTTGACGACCTTCTTGCAGCGTCGAGAGTGGTTCGTTCAATAGTTTTACGACGGTCATTCTTGTCGAGTCCAGCACCCCAACAAGAAAAGTAGTGCAGTGCAAGAACAATATTTAATACATCCGCTGCCTCTATTACAGTTTGAGTGTTACTGCAACATGTTGTCTTTGTTTCTGAAACCTACAGAGTGAGTTCGGACAAGAATCAGTTCACGCCATCACATCCCAGGTTCCCAGAAAAAACTCTCGTCGGCACACGGCTTGCCCTTGTTGATACGGTCACAAAAACGTCAATCGAACGGTTCAATTCAAAGTGATACATTACTAGCGGAACAGACTCACCTGTGGCCTCAAGGGGTGAAAACCCTATAATCTCCAAATTTCACTCTTCCCTGAGTAACGACGCCAACAAACACAGAAACACATCCCCCCAAAACAGCGCTAAACAATCCGAGGACACTGCTTCTGGTTTCATCTCTTGCGCATGTCGTCCAAAGGTCCCTTGTCAACGGCACTGCTGTCTGTATCTGAATGTTCTACACAGCACAAGAACCGGTGTGAATGGCCGGAAGGTAATGCTTGTTCGTCTTAAACCGCACAGAAAGCACTGCAGTTCAACTCCATCGAAACATGGCGCATATTCATTCACCTGTTGAGATTCGCTCTGCCTCCATCAGTCGGGAAGAGGCAGACCGTTGCATGCCGATCCCCCGGCGAGGCATCGCGTTCGGCGGCATGTTGAGGACGCGCCGCTCCCGCTCTTGTCTTGTTTTTTTTTTAACTCCTGTCCCTTTTCCAAGGGGATCTATCTCTCTTGCTTTCCTGTCGGGTAAACGTACAACAAAAAGAGAGACTTGCCGGTTGACCCATGTTCTGTGTCTCCACTATTGGCACTGGTGTAAGTTTCATCGAGGCTCACCTGTTCGACACACCTAACCCTGTGCATGACATGCACGGCGTAGTATGTATGGTAGATAACACGCACGCGGAGCGGACAGCGTCTTCGACACCGACTTTATCCAGGAATGTTAAAGTTACGTGCGAGTGCGCGCGAGCTAGCGCAGCAGTGTACAGGTATGCGACAATACCGCATACACTGCTGTGTCTTTTCAGCTGAAGAGGTTTTGAACATGAAATATTTGCCCAGCGAAACATGCTGCACTGCGTCACATCGTCCGCAACTACAGTAATAGTTGACGCCAGCACTATCCATTACCCTGCGGGGTATCGAGCTTCAGCAGACTTGTCGGGAATCACGGGGTAAACAACAAAGTAAAGTACATGCGAAGGTGGAGGAGGGGGGGGGCGTGGGATGAAGGGGGAGAGCAGAGAGCTACATGATCCACGACGTGCATCTTAAGTGGGATAGCAGCAAGGGCGTAACACGACAAAGACCTACACGGGGAGTGGATACATGGAGATTAAGCGTCGAAAATAAACTGCTGTGGCCGAAGAGAGAATGAAGGGAGATGGCGATTGCTCTGTGGCAAGATGCTGCTGGCGTGGCAAGCATCCGGCAAACCATGTATCTTCTTGTCGTTCCAGTTTTGCACCCTTTGCAATATGCATGCAAATATGGCGTCTGCTACGCACCACTTTTTTTTTCTGCTTATGTTCCTATTTAGACGTGTACCATACAGCAGTATGCATACCATGGTGTTTGAAACGCACCTGTTCGTGTGTTGGCGCGCTGCGGGGGCGAAAGGCGAGAATGAGTCTGACTGGCGAGAAATGCCATCGAACAACCCGACAACCCGACTCACTCAGTTATATTGTAGAGCCTGTCTGTCTGTTTGTGTGCGAGTGGAAAACCTACGGGTACAAGCAGCATCTCTGTGCCTCCTCTGTAGCTATTAGTAGCCCCCGTTCACCTTTGGAGGTGTGTATTTGTAGGGAATTGCATGGCTGTTGCAGTGATGTACTGCAATTTGTAATAGGGAACAAAGGATAGAATATTGGGTTAAGTTATTATTGTCTTGATTCGTGACATTTTGATGTCTGCATTGCTTGTGTGGATTTCGCTTGGCCTCGCGTGTCGAGAGGGAGCGGTAAAATCGTAAAATCCGATCCGGTATCAATGGCGTTCGTCCCGCATGTCACCTGGTTCTCTGCGGACTGACCTCGGGACTCTGTTGATTGGCTGATCCTTCGTTTTGTTGATTGTTCAAAAGGTGCGTCCTCTTTGTTAGTTGTGCAAATATCTCATAGCCTGTGACCACCGAAGGTGAAAGCTTCCGCGCCAGTTGAGCCAGTGCCATGGGTGTTGGGAGGGTACAGCAGTACTCAGCAGCAGAGATCGGAGATCGGTACTTGCCTTTTCAAGTAAAAAAGTGTGAAGGCGACCACGACAAGCAACGAAAGAAGGGCAAACAGCTACCATATATTCTTCTGCCATGCTTCCTCCGTATATGACTGTGGGTATATCTCGAATGGGTAGTCTTTCTGTGTGTGTTTTTATTATTCCTTAATATGTATGTGAGCGAGTTGGCTTGTGAGTGCCAAATCGGCCCCTCAAGCCCTGTGTGTCCCATCCTCCTTCACTAGCTTCGCTGACAGCAGCCGCCAACAGCAGTCAACCCGTGCGTTGGTTGAGGTGTTCTAATTTCTTTCTCTATTTTTGAGCGGGGACTTTCGGCTGGTGGTGGTATGTGGTATGTGAAAAGGGTCCAGCAGCCAGTGTCCCAAAAGGCGAACAAAGGCTTTGGCCAGCATCGGTGTACACAACACAGCAGCAGCAATGTTCTGCCGATCTCTCCTCTCTGGTCTTTCTCTATCATCCGAGGTCTCAACAAAGTGGGCACAAATGCACGTGACAAAATGATGTGCTGCCTGATGGACTCACGGACTCCTGCTGCTGCTACCTGTTGGGCAAAGCAACATTCGCTTGGGAGAACACTGCTGCTTGCTGGCGAAAAACGGGAGGAAAGGATAGCCAGCAACAAACGAGCTAAAAATGCAACAGTTGCCCAAGCACTGCTGTATCTCATCTGCCCGCGGTCTTGTCAGCCGTAACCGCTGGTGAGGGATATGGCGTGTCTCTCATCGAGCGCTGCATGCTGCATGTCGGTGAGCCTAGATGTGTGTTTTACTTCTCTTGCCGTATTTCCCCGCGACGAAGCGGCTGAAAAATCGCGGTAAGCTCGCAAGCACTGTCGCGGTGCACACGTGGGCCTCATTCGTCCCCATCAGTAGAGAGCCGCGGCACAAACTCACCTCCGCAAGGAACGTGCTCCGGAATCACGACCAAAAAGTGATATGCTACCAGCAGCAGGGCTTGAGCGTGGAGCAGAAAATGAATGGGAACAGAGACCGCGACGACCGGAACGAAGAAAGAAAATGGTGCGTGCTATGTGCGACAGATCAGGGCGCCGGACAATGCGGGGAGGGCAACTTTGCGGAGCCCCCGCCTTCGGGGCAATGGGTCAACGGATCTGGCATGGTTCTTCCCGAGGAAGAGAGGCAGTCTTCCCGAGATTTAGAGGCAGGTCAAGAGGTTCCAGAACTCATCTCCGTGATAGAGGGCAGAAATTGCGCCGAACTCCCAATTGACCGCGGGTCAGGCTACGTGAAGGGTAGGGTTATTTTGCGCGAGATGTGTGCGTAGACATCGCGGTCACGTCCCCTGCGCCTTCTTTTTTTCGTCGACAACTGACTCGTAGAACTCCCTCCTCTTCACGGAAACAGTATAATGCGCGCAAACTCCAACCTCGTGCACTTCTGTACGACACTATTGTACATTCACTCACATACCAAAAGGTCCGAATTTGATTATTTTGTGACCCCCTTCGACTGCTCTGGTTATATCTCGGACGGCTAGTCTTGTTTGTACTTCTATTCATTTACGCTCACACTGAGCAGCAGGTTGTTATTCTATGGCTAAGGTCATTCAGTCAAACGAGGTCACATCAAGTCACATCATTGAAAAAAAGGCTATTTCCTTGCCTTGTACAGCAGTGTATGTTAATGTAAAGACATGCACATTTGGACGCGCGGACACGCCACTCCCCCCTCCCCTCCCGGCAGATGGCCGTAAAATAAGACTTTTATGTACTCTAATATGCGCTTGGAAAAGGATGGAGTCTAGACTACGACCACAAACCAAGAGAAGTAGCACATCCGACGCGAACTACAATGTAGAGTGATGATCCTCTCTCTCGGAAGGACACGCTTCGAACACCCGTTCCCCTTGTAGTAGTAATTTGCAACTGACAACCCGCGGAAAACTCCCGGCAAGTATAGGGCATGAAGAGTGCAGGCAAGAGGTGCTGCTCAGAAGGAACCCCACCACGCCCAAGACAGCAATCCACAGTCAATGTCCTCCTCAATGTGCCGGCGGTGTGTTATTATTCTCTCTCGATCGCAGTGCCTTAGCACTACTATCTACTTTCAGCAGCGTCTCGTTTTAGTCGCCCAGCGGCTCGTCTGGTGACACCTAGAGCGGCGTCCATCTCCTGAACGCCAGCCTCGCCAGCCAGAGAAAGCCAGGAAATGGAGTAAAAGCTGTGAAGCATGTCAGGCGGAACGCCTGGTGCCTTGGCGAACCCACCTGCTGCGATTAGGTCGGGCGGGGGGCGCGCGTGGGCTCTCAGATCACATTACCATTTGTACAATCGACGCAAAAAAAAATTGCACGATTGATCGACCAGTTACGTGTCCAGGGGCGAAGTACGAAAGAGGTCTGAACGGCGACAGGAACAATGGCGGTGAACATACCGTCAACCGGCCTGTTCAGTCGAGTTCGACCGCATTTGGATTGAAACGCCCGAAAGACAACGATTCGGTAGGCCAGTCGGGAGGCGAGGCGAGGACAAAGCACAGGCGCCGGCCAGTACTTACCGCAAATTCGGTTTTGACAAGATACATGAAATTGCCGGGCTCGACCATCGTCCACAAGGTCCAGCCCATCCAAGAGAGCTAGCGTGGCTCCCACCCAGAACGAGCAGCAGCTGTCTTCGGGCTTGTTGGGTCGGCCCTGGAACCCGACACCCTTTAAGAGAGAGCCATGCGAACCAAAAAATCGCAAGGCGATGGTAGCGGAGACGGGGGGGGGGGGGGGGGGGGGGGGTGGGGAGGGCTGGTGGGTGGGGGGGGGCGTGGGGGGGGGGGGGGGGGGGGGGGTTTTTTTGGGTTT